AACAAATGGGATGTGATTGCATTATGAAGTTCAATCTGGTAATAGTTGCTATTAGCACTCTGTTGAACGTAACGTAACTATGTTACCTCATGTGAATAATTAGAAGGAACTATGTGCTTCTGTATGATTTATAAGGCCGAGAGCCATTTGTGAAATATGAATCTATGAGGCCGAGGGCCAGCTTGTGAAATTATGAATATTTGTGAAATTGTGAACTTATGAGGCCAAAGGCCGACTTGTGAATCTATGAACTTATGAGGCCAAGGGTCGACTTGTGAATTTGTGACTTATGAGGCTGAGGGCCAATTTGTGAATTTGTGAACTTATGAGGCCGAGGACCAACTTGTGAAAATATGAATCTATGAGGCTGAGGGCCAACGTGTGAAACTAAGAATTCAAAGGGCCAAGGGCCAAGTTGTGAAGTTATGAATCTCAATTGTGAATCTATAAAGCCAAAGGCTAATTGTGAATATGTGAACCCACCAGGCCAAGGGCCAGTCTGTGAATTTGTGAACCAACAAGACCGTTCTGACATTAGTACGGAATCAGATTAACTACCTGTCTTTTATATTATATAAACTCTGATTTGCATTATAATTCAAGTTGAACATTGAGTTATTCACGTACTATTATTCACTGAGGTTATCTCACTATGTATTTTGTCTGATTCCGTAGGTCCTGCGTTTGGAGGTCAGCCTCAACTTTTAATGCTCGTCTTCCTTTGTTAGCCTCTGTGTGTCCAAGCATTTGGGTGAAGCCTACCCGTTTGGTGAAGTTTTGGCTTAGATTCTGATTGTCTATAATATGTTGTAACTTCTAATGTTTTTTTTTATTATACGCCCAAACACGGGCGGGGTTGTATATGTGTATGTAACTATTATTAACTGTCTATTTGTGATCCTGGCATGATAGTGGTCGCTCAATGGATGTAGCTCTTTCCTTGCATGTTATTATATAAAATTTATGCTTCCACTCAGGCCCCATATGTTATATATAACAGGTTAAGTGTCCGTTTTTGAACTGGTCATGTCCAAACTTCTAGGGGCGGGTTTGGGGCGTGACATGAATAATGAGACATACATGTGTTGGATGCTTGTTGTTGTGTTTTATTTCTGAATAATGAGACATACATGTGTTGGATGCTTGTTGTTTGTGCTTTATTTGTCAATAATGGTTGATGATATTTGTGCTTTGTGCTTTCAAATTATTATTATTATTATTATTATTATTTTGGACTGGTTAGTTGTTATTCATATGCAATTTTTTTTTTTTAATAGTTAATGTGTGTGTGGACAAACCTATGTTGTGCTAGGACCTCTATTTTCTTCTTTTTGTTGTTCTTCGATTTTGGTTGTCTATGTTTTCTTCTTTTTGTTGTTCTTCAATTTTGGTTGCCTTTGTAATTTTTCCTCTTTCACTTGGATTTTGCTGGAGAACTCCAGGATTTGGTATTGGTATATATAGATGGGTTGAAGATACTTAAGGGCATTATGGGTATTTTAATGTTTAGCTTTGATGACATCAGTAAGTTCTGTTAGATGTATAAACGACTGTCAAAAAATAAGACAATCTTGACATTGTCAGGTAAAATAGGAAATATTACTTTAATTATTAAAATTATAAGAGAGATTTATGTATTTATCAAAAATCTCAAGAGAGAGATAAGTGTAATTTAGCCTAAAACATTCTATGTATTTTTTCAATGGGGGATGCCAACACCCTTGAGAATATTCTTTGGAATATTTTCAAATTCTTTTAGGTTCAAAAATCAATCTTGGTGCAGGGTGACGCTACTACCTTTGCACCAGAATTCCTTTCCTGTATTTGGTGGTATTGGACCATGAATTCCTCCACTGCCATGAATTCCTTTCCCCAGGGAAGGTATTTGGTCAACTCAACAACTTACCTACCTCCACTGCCATGAATCCCTTTCCCAGAGAAGGTATCTGGTGGTATTGGACCATTGCTCTATACTACTAAAAGGTTGGTTACTTATTCATTTATCTTTTACTTAAGGTTGGTTACTTATCTATTTATCTTTTTAAAAGAAACACAAAAATAGTAAAATTTATTATTTTAACTAATCAAACATAATTTTGGCTTAATTTGAGAACTTAATTTTGATTTTTAACCCAAATTGAGTAACATTACTTCTATATTTTTTTATACATTTTTTTAAAAAATATTAAAAATTAATTTTTAATTAACTTTTCAAAATAACCCTCAAAACTTCACCTAACTTTGCCCCTGGAGTGAAGTATAATTTATCCTTTGCCCACCTCAGCAACTTATTGCAACAACTATTTGATATTATTATTTGTACGACTATTATTAAGGTCCAGCTTGTCTATAATGGGAGATCAAGATTGAACCGTCTAGTCCATTTTATTGGTTCATTTTTTAGTTCAGTTTTGATAATTCGAGCTGTTCATATTTTAGAATTCGTCGAGTATATTATTCCTGTAAAAAATTAAGTTGATCGGATAAGAGAAATTACATGTTCGAATCAATTTTGTATTTAAAAAAATGAAAAATAAGAAAGTAAATGGTTCATATAAAACTGATTCGAACACGTAGTTGTCATTATCCGATCGATTTAATTTTTTACAAGAATAAAATACTCGACGAATTTTAAAATGTGAACGATACGGTTTAAATTATCGAAGTGAGACAAAAAAATGAGCCCACAAAGTGGACTGAACGGTCCAATATTTGCCTCTAACGGGAGACAAGTTAGACTCTTTATATATACAAAGGCCTTCTTTGGGAACAAAGTAAAAAGTTATTTCTTTGACTTTTAACTTATTTTGAATCATATCATCTTTTTATTTTTTAAAAAAATAATTAAAAAAATTAACTTTTAACCAATTTCTCAAAATAACCCAAAATATATCTTTTTAAAAAAAAAAACTTTATGGTTTCTTCAGGAGAGAGTACGAGATATAATTTGTCACTTTATCTGAAAAACACTTTCAATTTGTTTTATAAATTTTGAAAACTGTTATTTAAAACCCCAAAAAAAAAAATTATAAAGATGATAGTTTTTTTTTTTATTTGTTATTTACTTAAATTTTATTTTTGAAATTATTTTTGAAAACATCAGAATTTCCCCAGTGAAGGTATTTGATCAACTCAACCACTCACCTTCCTCCACCGCCATGAAAATTCTTTTTTCCATAGGAGGTATTTGTTGGTATTGGACCATTGCTCTATAGAACTTAGATTTCGTAGAAGTAATAATAATAGTTTAAAAATTAAAAAATTATTTAAAAAATTAAAAATTTTATAATTTATAATTTATATCAAAAATTTTAAAAAAAAAAATTTCTCTCTACTTTTACATATCTTTTCATAAAAAATCAAAAAGTCATTCTAAACATACAACTTTTTTTTACCTCATATTCTAACTAAAAAATCAAAAAATTACTAAAATAATAAGTCTTAAGGTTGGTTACTTATCCATTTATCATTTTAAAAGAAACACAAAAAAGAAAAATTTACTATTTTAATTAATCAAACATAATTTTGGCCTAATTTGAGAATTTTTGTTAAAAGTTAAATTTTGACTTCAACCTAAATTGAGCTACATTACCTCTATATTTTTTTAAAAAAAGTCAGAAAATAAATTAAAAAATTAATTTTTAACTAACTTTCCAAAATAACCATCACAACATCACCAAACTTTGCCCCCGATAATTTATCCTTTCCCCACCTCAGCAACTTATTGCAACAACTATTTGATATCATTACTTGTACGATTATTATTAAGGGTCTAGCTTGTCTCCCGTAGGAGATTAAGATTGAACCATTCAGTCTATTTTGTCAGTTTACATTTGAGTCCAGTTTCGATGATCCAAACTGTTTATAATTTACAATTCGTCAACTACATTATCCCTATAAAAAAATCAAGTTGATCAGATAACAGAAACTAAGTGTTCGAATCAATTTTGTATAAAAAAATAGACAGTATAAAAGTTCATGATTCATATAAAATTGATTCGAACACATAATTGTCATTATCCGATCGATTTATTTTTTATAAAAATAATATACTCGACGAATTTTAAAATATAAATAATATGATTTAGATTATCGAAACAAGACCTAAAAACAAACCCACAGAGCGAACTAAATGGTCCAATATTTGCTTCCAACCGGAAACAAGTTAGACCATTTATATATGCAAGGCCTCTTTTGAAAACAAAGAATAAAGTTAGTTTTTTACTTTTAATTTATTTCGATTCATATCATCTTTCTATTTTTTACATATTTTTTAAAAAAAATAAAAAATAAAAAAATTTATTTTTAACTAACTTTCCAAAATATATCTTCTAAAAAAACTTTTATGGTTTCTTCAAGAGAGGGCACGAGATATAATTTGTCACTGTAGCTGAAAAGCACTTTCAATTTGTTTTATAAATTTTGCAAGCTGTTATTTAAAAGAAACAAACAAAAAAATTGATAACGACGAGTTTTATGAAAAAATTTATAACACTCCCAAAATAGTGTTTGGTTTTTTTTTTTTTTTTTTTTCAATTCCACCTGATTAATCCCCAAAAGGAGGATGGTTTTTTTCAATTCCACCTGATTAATCACCAAAGGAGGATGGTTTTTTTCAATTCCACCTGATTAATCACCAAAGGAGGATGGTTTTTTTCAATTCCACCTGATTAATCACCAAAGGAGGATGGTTTTTTTCAATTCCACCTGATTAATCCCCAAAAGGAGGATGGTTTTTTTCAATTCCACCTGATTAATCACCAAAGGAGGATGGTTTTTTTCAATTCCACCTGATTAATCCCCAAGGGATGATGGGTATTCATAATTTTTCCCCATCCAAATGTGCATTTTGTGAGGCATTAGACTGAATAAAAAAAATGACAAAATAAATTAAAAAATAAAAAATAATTTTTAACCATCCTCTCAAAACAATCCTAAACCAAACATGGCCAAACGGTAGAGTGGAACAATTTTTTTTTAAACCCTCAAATTATTAAAAAAAAAAAAAAAAAAATGGACGGGTTCTAAAATTTATACCATATATAAGGACCGTTTACATAAAAAATAAAAAGATGGAAAACAAAACAAAACAAAATAAAACAAAAAACAAAGCTTAGTTACTTAATAGGTAAGAAAGGCAATTCTGAACCGTTGGATGAACCAAACCGACTAAAGAGTCAAAGCTGATTCTTAGACTTAGAGGCCTCGAGATCGGCGGCTTCTTTGAGGAAGCTCTGGTCGTCGTCTTCGAGTGCCATTTGGATGGGCGACGAGCCAAGTCCGTCAGCGATGGCAAGCATGATCTTCTTCATCTCGGACCTGAACTCATCCATGTCCACGGCTCCGCTCTTGTCGCAGTCGAACTTGTCGAAGATGGAGTCGTAGAGGCTCGTCAGCTCCTCCGGCGGCGTCGCCACGTCCACTCCGAAGTCGGACTCCATCAGCCTAAACGACTCGAACGCCTTCCGAAGCTCCGATCGAGACAAAACGCCGTCGTTGTTGATGTCGAGAGCAGCGAAACGCTCGTCCATGCTCTTCTTGAACTGTTCATCGTCCCCAACGAAGGCTCGTACTGTCGACCCGTCTATTATCACCACTCCCATCTCTCTCTCTCTCTCTCTCTCTCTCTAGGGTTGATGTGTGTCGCTTGTGAAGCGGTGCAATGACTGCGAATTATATAGCGGAAGGAGGGGATGGAAGATTTTACTCGGCGTTGAAATTACGTTTTGGGACGAATTATACTAGGATTAGGTTACGTTTTGGGACGAATTATTATTATACTAGTATTAGGGTAGGGAATTATTAGTGCGTTCGTATCAAGCGGTCGTTTGGTTTTATTTTGGAGCTAAAAAATATAAAAATTTAAAATAAATTATATATATTAATAAGATAAAATATCACATTTAAATCATAATTATTACACTTTTTCTTTCACAAAAAATTAAAAAAGTCAAAAAATTCAAACAAAACGAGATTAAAAAAATCAAACTAAAAAAATTTCAATACAAAAAAGTTGATTATATTAATCAATGTGAAACGAATCTTAAATTTGTTTTTATTTATGCATGATATAGTGATATTTTATTTATTTATTTTTGGATGACTTAGGATGACTAGAGTAATTTACTCGTTTTTTTGATTAATTTTTGAGAAATATTATGAAATTATTTGGAATAATTTAAATAAATATATTTTTTAATTTTTTATGAAATAAATTATAAAAAAATAAAAAAATAATATAATTTAAAAAAATAAATAAATATGTTTTTATAGTACATCTCAAACACCTTAATGATATTAATGATATTAATTATATGAGATTAAATCTATAAACATATGTAAAACTTCTCGTCGATCAACGACAAGTTCAGCAACGCACATGCCGCTCTGAATCTTCGAAATCGCTCTGAACAGCCGATTGATATCGATCTGAATCTTCAAAATCGCTTCGAAATCGCTTTGAACAGCCGATGGAGCTTGTGTTCTTTGAAGCTCTCGTCAAGAACAGCCGATTGATCTGTCAAGAGACGAAGCTTCTTCCTAGAGTACTCTCCTTCGTCTTCTTCGTCGCTAAGAGAGAGAGAGAGAGAGATGTGTGCTTATAAGATAACAGAGATGTGTTCGTATAAGAGAGAGAAAGCGCACAGATTCAAGAATAAGGGTTTCAAAAAGGGGCGCGTGTATGCACCGTATTCGGAGGCGTTTTTAAGCGCCTTCAATTTCAAAACGGTGCCGTTTTGGTTAAAAAAATATACGGCGATTATAAAACGCCGTTAAAAATTAGAAAATGCGACGTTTAATAAAACGTCGTTAATTAAACGTCGTTAAATCTCTAATTTCCTGTAGTGTTAGTTAATTTTTTTTAATGATTTTGAATTTAAAATTACATAAGAGTTGATGTAAAAATTTGAAAGGAGATTAACAAATGAATTAAAAGTTTTCAAAATTATAATTGGACTAAAACCACTTTGACACATCATGTTATGTGTAATTTAAATGATTTAAAAAATCAAAACATTGGAAAAAAAAAATGATTTGAGTCTTTCAGTTTCAAACACCCTACAACATTTTAAAATTTATAATAGCATAGATATAGACATAGATATAAATTTTATTTAAAATTTTTTAATTTAAAATAAGATTTGACTTAAATATTATTAAAATTTTACTTAAAAATTTCCATTTAAAGATTTTTAAAAAATTAAATTACATATGGCTAAATGCACGATTCGTTTTCGAAATAATTAGCCACAAGTCCCATTTGGTGAAGGTTGTGCTAGCATAAGTCCCATGTATAATTTTTATTTCAAGAAGTCATTTTTGTTAGAAAATCCTCATTGTATTTAAAGAATAGTTTAAGAAAGAAAAATTATGTTTGAATACTAAATATCGAAACAGAATATACAAAAATAAAATATGGAAAAACATATTCTATTTTATTACAAAAATAAAACAGAATCTGAAAAATAAAATAATATGAAACCAGAAAATAAGAAAAATACTTACAAAATTAGTTTTTTTCAAAAACATTAAGTCCAGCATTTGGCACTATTTCTTTAAAACAGATTCGTCATCTCCACGGTACTTTTAGAATATGGACGTCTATTTCCCAAGATAAAATGATCGACAACAATTAGTAGTAACACTACAAACTAATTGCCCAGCAAACACATTTTGTGTTTATACTCTCTTTCAAAGAAAAAAAATGCAGTAATATGCAACAAGTAGAAGCAAAAGTAGAAGCAGAAACAGAAGAAGGCACACAAATTGAATGAGTTGAACAAATGGAGTATTGTCTATTTATAGAAGAGATGGTGACTGTTTGGGACAAAGACGAACATGCATTGAACATGTTCGGGTTAGAGGAAAGTTAAAGGGATGTGATTGTTCAAACCTAAACGCCAACTTCTAGAAACGTTGGGATCAATTCGGAAATAAATTTGAATTTCGAACAAAAAGTTTAAATTCCAATGGTAGGAATTTAATTTTTTAAAAATAAAATTCAAAAGTTTTTTCCCCAAAAAAATAAGAATTGGGCTGGACAATACCAATCTCAGCCCAACCTCACACCTGCGCCCTCGTCCAAACTCGGTCTAGGTAGGCAGTGGCAGCACATGCGTGTGTGGTTGTTTTTTAGTCCAATGGGTCAAAACCCATTTTACCCATAACCTTTCCCTCTACAAAACTTGGTTATCCCTTGGGGCCCTCCCTAAGATCTAAACTCAAGGTTTATAAACCCACATAATGCTAGCCTACTAAAGCAATGCGGGACAAGGCTTTCTTCATTCCTTTTAGGAAATACACTATGACACCATTCTCGTGGTGCTCAATTTGGCAGCAATTTTCCATTCTAATAATGATTTTGAGCAACCACATGTATGTTGTGAATCTCTAAACAGCAAAGAGCGCGTTGCCATAGACCCGCCAAATTCAACGTATGGATCCCACCTCTATTATAACCCAAAGTTAGGGGAAAAAACTCATTTTTGCAAAACTATTTCTAACAATGCCCCACATGAATGGAATTGATGACAATGAAAATGCAATAACTTGCAGAATTTTGAGGGAACATAAATTGAAAATATCTTACATCAAGATAGGTAGCTTTTGGCTTGAACCTGCCCTAGTGATTACCTATTGGACTTACTAGCTAACCAATGGACGTGATGCCTTGAATTGTTTAGCCGTTTATGTAAGCCAAGACAATAGATTTTATACAAAATATCTTTTGACACATCGTGGTTCTCACGGTTGGATTCATTTTGGCCCTGAACATTCCTGGTTATTCGTGTGTGCTTTAGAGAATTTAGTCTTTTCATTCTCATAGAATTGGCCCCAGTTTGATACTCATATAGATGATTCTTATTGTGAGTATCCCTTATACTCGTCTTGATTTTTATGCCTAAATCAAGATATAAGTAATCATTAAAAACAAAGCTTACCCTTAAATCCTTGCATACAACTCATGTTGTAGATATCACTCTCACCATATGAATGGATAGGGAGTATGATCCCTTGGTGATTTCTGGTGAGCCATACATATTAGTTGTTCCTTTGAACTTAGTTTTTGGGATCTTCAGTCATCTAAGTAGGGTTACCATTATGATGACTCTTATGTGATAGGCATTAATCTCATTCCCTTCGATGCACTATACACTTGTTCTTTTGCCAAACCTTTTGTTAACGGATCTGCGATATTCTCTTTAGACTTTATATAGTCTATCAAGAATATTTCATTCGAGAGCAATTGTCTTATGGTATTATGTTGACGACGAATATATCGCGACTTATCATTATACATATGACTCTGTACCCTTTTTATTGTGGATTGACTATCACAATGAATACAAATAGTTGGCATAGGTTTTGGCCACATTGGAATGTCTTTTAAGAAATGGCGAAGTCATTCTGCTTCTTCTCATGCTTTATCTAAAGCAATGAACTCAGATCCCATTGTGGACCATACAATGCATATGAGGAATGTGAAACCATTCCTCGTTGTCGTTATGAGATTGAGGGGGAATCTTTCATGTGTACTCCGTTGGATCTTGATGAGCCTGCTTCCTAGGAGGAAACATTAGTTTCACCTAATACTAATGAGTGGATAGTTGCTATGAAGGATGAAATGAGTTATATGGCTTGGAATCAAGTTTGGGAGTTAGTTGACCTTCTACCTAGGCACAAGACCATTGGTAACAAATGGGTCTTAAAAATTAAGCGCAAGGTTGATGGATCAATTAATAAGTACAAAGCCTGTCTCGTGGTGAAGGGCTATACCCAAAGAGAGGGTATAGATTATGATGAGACATTCTCCTCGGTGGTGAGATTTGCCTCTATTCGTCTAATTCTAGCTATTGCCGTGCATTTAGATTTGGAACTTTTCCAAATAGATGTTAAGACTGCATTTCTCAATGAAGAACTAGATGAGGAGATCTAAATGGATCAACTAGTAGGCTTTGAGGTCAATGGGCAAGAGCGCAAAGTATGTCGCCTCAAATGTTCCATTTATGGTTTAAATAAATCATTTAGACAATGGTACTTTAGATTCCATAAAGCCATCGTTTCAACTGGGTTTGACATGATGGAGGAAGACCGTTGTGTGTATTTCAAACAATCAAGAAAGAGTTTCCTTATCCTATCGTTGTATGTTGACGACATTTTGTTAGTTGGAAATGACATAGAGATGATTATCACCACTCAAGAATGGATGTCCTCTACTTTTGAAATGAAGGACATAGGACAGACAAATTATGTGCTCGGAGTTAAGATCCTAAAAGATCGCTCTAAGAGGCTTCTTGGTTTGTCTCAAGAAACTTACATTAACAGGATCATAGAAAGGTTTTGTATATACTATTCCAAACCCATTGACACTCTAATTGAGAAGGGATGAAATCTGAGTATTGACTCTTGCCCTAAGACAAATGAGGAAAAGAAACATAAGGCAAAAATTCCCTATGCTAGTGTAGTTGGTAGTCTGATGTACTCTATGATGTGTACTTAACCAGACATATGTTTTGTAGTGGGATTGGTCAGCCGTTGCCAAAGTAACCCAAGACTTGTTCACTAGAATGCAGTGAAGAAGATTTTTTGCTATCTTTGTGGGACAATGGATCTCATTCTTTGCTATCAAGGTGGAGATTTGAGACTAAAGGGATACAATGGCGCAGACTAGGCTGCTGATAAAGATGAGTGTAAGTCTACCATTGGTTATTTGTTCATACT